AATTCCTAGATTGGAAATTTAAATATTTAATGCTTAATATTTATTTTTTACCAAAGAAAAACTTGCAATTTTTGTTAATCTAAATTTTTTTAATAAAATTGAATTTTTATTTAGGAACATGCATTCACGCCCCGCTTAACATAATTCACGCCCCACAAGGGGAGAGCGCCCCTCAGTTTCGGAACCACTGCCTTAAGTAATAAATGACAAAAGTAAATTTTTAGTTTTTAACAATAAAAATGATCTTTTTACTAAATCGATTTTGTTATTATATTATGTAAACATTCAGGAAAATTGAATAATTTAATAAAAATTTGATTATCCAGATGTGTATCAGCGCGTTGCCAATACTCTTCAAAGCTGGATCTAAAACTCGCAAATTTAGGTTTGGTTTATAAATTTATTAAACAAACAGGTTTTATGGGATGTGGCTTTAAATTTACAGTCGAATAGCAAAAAAGTAGCTGGTAGCGAAATTATTATAGTACATTACATATCGAGTGGCGAAATGCGACGATTTCTAAAGAGTGTGAAGTTTGCTACACACTCTTATGAAATCGCCGGCTTTCGCCAAGAGATATGTTCACTATTTTGTACGAACAGAAATTTAAATTTCGTTGCCTTTTAAGAGATAGAGAGAAAAAATGGTTAATATTTATGCGTTTTTTTATATCCTTGAGGACCGGTTTATCAATGTCCAGTTAAAGTTTCCATGGTTACCATTGTTCTCACAACGATCGATATGGAATTTAACTGTCAGATAGACTAACTGGAACTTAACCAGAGATTGATAAACCGTCAATGAGAGGAGCATAGTGAAGTTAAAGCATAAACAAACATTCACTCACACCAACCTAAAGACAATTAAGTTAACTCTCGCTTTTACAGCTGATTTTTTCCCAAATATAAGGTAAATAAAAATATTTATTTATATACCTAGTGCACGAAATTGAACTTTGGTGATTGAGAATGACGTTCATTCGAAAGCACTAAAAACATTTTGCGCATGAGAAGCATACAACATTTTTTCTACAACTTAATTAAAATAATAAGATAAATATTTTATTTTTTTGTTACATTACATTACAAATTTTGTCAGTTTTCTTTGTTTATGTTTATGTTACATTTGAGCACGTCGTTGTAGAAAAATTATATTATATGTATATATAAAATATATATATATATATATATTATGTTATATTATATTATAAAATAATCTTCTATTTTAAAGAACTTAAAATTAAAAGATATTTTTGTAATATATTGATTTTTATTTTGAGAACCGAGACCCCCGAGTTTAAACCTCAGCAGCGTCACAACTTTTTTAAATTTAAATCTACCAATTTGACTATTTCATTTGGTAGAATTTGACTGATTCACGGTGGATTTTTAGGGTCAATTTTCGGATCATCAGGCAACCACGGTTTTTTTTCATAAATCGATTATATGCCTGTTATAGACAAAAATTACCAAAAATAAAAAAAATCTCTCGGTTTTTTTGTTATTTATTAAGAAAAATATAATATAAATGGGTCTAATTTAACTTTTTTGGTTATTTTGCAAAAAGTATCAATTTTATCAAAATTCTGTTTTAACAAAGATATAGAATAATAAATTTTCTACAAAAAAGGTTATTACCATATTTGCTTACCTGTAATTTTTAAACGTAGTTTTTCTAACAAATGTTTTGCTTAATTTTTTTTATTTAAGTTGGGAAAAAAATTTGTTGGTCGGCCTTTCTGTAGATAAGTTTTTAAAAATTGATCTCTTTTTCGATTGTAATACTTTATGACTAAGAAAAAATCGATGAAAGAAGCATAGAATTAAAAAAAAATCACTAAAAAGAAATAAAAAATCTACTTTTTAAACAATTTGATGCGATATTTAATTTTTAATCATAGTTACCCAAGCAAAATGTAAACGTCAAAACCCGAAAAAAAGGTTTTTCAAGATTTTAAGTGATAAGAACCAAAGAATTAAGTTAAATTACTTATTAAAATAAGAAAAGTTATTTTAAAATTGTATTATACATTAAGTTTTTTCGACTTAATTAAATATTATTAATTCTAAGTATTATTATATATAATTGAAGAGAGGAAATAAGAAAAGGCTTTTTTACATAAAAAGGTTCTCTGTGCCATGCTTTGCAACCTATGAAAAATTCTAATTGCCAAAATTACAATTTACAGCCGCGGCTAGCCGGTCGAGGGATGCAGGTTCTTACCTGGCTTTTATTTAGTTTTTTTCGATTATCTCAAAATTTTATTTTTGGCACTTAGGCCCTTTCTAATTTCCACTCTACAATAAAAAATATATAAAAATTACTTTATAATGTAGAAACTTTATCCACTTTTATGTGTCAATGTAATTCCAATTACAAGAACCAGCAAATGCGATTTTTAAAAAATTTATAACTTTGTACGGATATTACTCCTAAAGTATATATATTACAAAGAAAATGCTCATAACCTTTTTTGTAGAAAATTTATTATTCTATATCACTGTTAAAACAGAATTTCGATAAAATTGATACTTTTTGCAAAATAACCAATAAAGTAAAATTAAACCAGTTTATATTATATTTTTCTTAATAAAACACAAAAAAACCGAAAGATTTTTTTTTTTTTGGTATTTTTTGTCTATAACAGGCATATAGTCGATTTATGAAAAAAAACCGTGGTTGCCTGATGATCCGAAAATTGACCCTAAAAATCCACCGTGGATTATTAGTGACTGCTTTTTCGCTATGGAAATTAGTCATATTAGACTAATTTATTTTAAGAGACACTTTACCCCCAAATATTTATGTATTGCAGTTAATTCTATGAATTGTTGTAGTTTTTAGAGTATGTGGTATCCGGGCGAATATTGACTTACTTTTCGGTACTCGGTCGGATAGTAAATTTAGGTCGGATATACCGGATAGTTACCGGATATCTATTTCATCCATCAAAAAAAAGCAAAATGAAAAATGTTATAATATAATAGTACATATTGTAGACCGCCTAGTAAAGTGACATTTTTCCAGGCTAAAAGAAGATGAAAGAAATGCACTATTCTTGAAGCCTGAAAAAATAATTTACCGCCGTTTTTAACACGTTATTTTTCTTCCTACACGACATGACTGCGATAATTTGTAGAATTGGTCGTGCAAATGCCTTGCTTTATTTGGTTGGTTATGACACTGTATACATGATATATGTGATATATATATATCACAAACCATTTTAATTTCCTTATTTTTGTATTCCATAAATCTCTTTCTTTAACCCATTTCCTCGTCAAAATTATTAAAAATTTGACATTTTTTCAATCCATTATATTATCCCCATTTCATTAATCATATGTCATTAATCATTAATTCCATATGCATTTATATAACAAATATAAAATTTGATGACTCATCGACGATGAGTCAACGCTTGATTACGGCAGGGGATTCCTGAACGATCAAGAGTGGTGTGGTGTGGTGTTCTAGAAGGTCGCTCAAGGGGTCAGTTTAACTGACTCAGTTAAGCTTTGGTACTTGTGACGAAATAAATTAAATATACGTGGAAATAAATACTCTTGTACAATAGTGATACGTTAAGTGATTAGTTAGTTCCATAGTTTAGTTCGTTAATAAACCAGTGCGTATTTTATTCACACTTTCAAACCATAAAAATGTTACAATATGTATCCATTATAAAAAACTTTACTTGCAAATTACTTAAATTTATATTTTTATCTACTCCTATTGCATAATTTTTTTTTCGTGAATATTGATAAACATTATAAATTCCCTGCCTAACAAAGGGAATAATGAATTTTAAAAATTAAATAAATAAAGTCTGTCAAATGGTTAACCTCATTGTTAATATAGTTGCCTTCTCTCAATTTAAAATGCGATTGGTTTAAATCACTGATGCCTATAGGCTATAGCAACGTGAATCATTATTTAATTTTTAAAATCATTTAATTATTTACTTATTGGAGTAGACTATATAGTATTAAATTTGAGATTATGCTCACTATCTCTCGTATAATAATATACTATTATACAGCACATTTTGACTGACATCTGTCAGCCCGCAGCGACACCTACACATAGTTAAATATAAATTTCTGCAGAAATCTACATCTAATAGTAATTTATCAAGCCGATTATTTTACAAAAAGAATACAGGTTTTGTTTGAATCAAAAAAGTTAATTAAAATCGTAAAAATTATATTAAACTTTAATTTAACATATTATTGCAGCGCTTTCTAAAAAGTAATAAACAACTTTACAGCCTAGCCATTTGTGGGTCCTTTTGTAACCTAGGACCCCCTTTCTTGACCCTACTGAGACGATAAAATTTAACTTTATTTATTAAAAACAACTTTACCAGTAGATTTATGTTTTAATATTTATATTATCAACCAATAGCATTTAACCCAAACCAACCCAACTCAAGATTGTATACGCGTTTATTTTAGATTTTGATTACAACTCAAATGTATCTGTTGAGAAGTTTTCCATGTACGAGTATATTTTTTTAACACGTTTTAATGATATACATTTTTAAAAAACAACCGGACAATATTTTTTCGTTATTTTGATGTGCTGAATCCAAATTCAACTTCAAACTTTCCCCATCACATCAGGTTTTTGAGAAATAAATTGCAACTATTTTTTGGATTTTGGATTTGATTTTTTTGAAAAATTTAAAAAGGATTTTAAAGAGGAAGCGTATGAATTAAGGGCATCGAAATTGTAGTCTGATTTAAACAATATGAAGGTTGTTAACTTACAACCTCTATATTGTTTAAATCAGACCATTCCTATACTTGTATTGTTTTATCGTGAAATATTTTTTATCTACTTAATTTCCACTTAATATTATTATTAACAAATTTTCTCGTCATGCCGATTACAAGGTTTAAATAAATGTTCAAAAAATTATAACCAATAAGCCCCCCAAAGAATTAATCTTGCGCAGGTGCCTGAACTGCATATGCGTTGGAAAAAAAACACTTACCTGTGTACAGGTAAGAAATAGGGCGGCCCATACGAAAAATCCAGCAACACCTTGGCATAATTTAGTTTGAAGAAAAATTGGTTCGGACGGCGCAGAACGGAAAGAATCGGCTCCGGAAACCGGGGACGCTGTTATGTTTGCAGCCAGCGCAGCAGCTAGTGCTGTTGGGCTTGTGATCGAAGAACTCATTCTGAAAAAAATAACAATAAATGAATGTTTATAATTAATGCAATACAATTTATAATAAAGGTAATATAATAAAAACGATAACTATTATAACAATTATTGGATATATTGAGTTTTAAAAATAAAGATATACTCTATTTTTTAATAAGGTTTTAATTGGTAAGTCTTTTAATAAATTCATATTATAAATGATGGTTGCTTACATATTCTTTAGACAAAAAACATCTAATCATTGTTACAATTTAAAACCCCTGGAATATGACGCATATTGGTAATAAAAAACAATAATCTATAGGTTAAAAAGTGTGTTAAATTAAAATTGTTAAACTAAGACCATGGACACTGGTTATGAAGGTTTTTCTATAAGCGATTTTAATTTAATATCAAAATATAAGCATATGCTTTAATTTAAATTTCATTTTTATTTAAAATTTTGATAACAATAAATTATTCTTATTCTTATTGCTTTCAAAGGGGTGGAATTTTTAACCAGTTTTTTATTTAATAAATAATAACACAGTAACCATTCACGAAAAGTACAAGGTGGTGCAAAAGTTATCAGCCAATTTCCCAAGGCTATATATTTTTTTGTAAATGAAAAAGCCGTTCTTTTTGTAAATAATGTTTATATTAGTTTATATTCTTTCCTGTTAAGCCGAAAAAATAATATCGGCCTAGTGGCCGCCGCCATAGTTGATGCACAATGGCATTTGCACGTTTTGGAGCATTTTGTATTACTTTTCCCAATACAAGCGATAGATTTGTAATTTTATCTTCAATCTTTTTTAGGTCTGCCAAGTTCTGTGTTTTGTTCACATATCCACGAGACTTTAAATAACCTTAAAGAAAGAAGTCTTCAGCAATCTGCAAATCACCAAAACGAGAAATTAATCAAACGGGAAATATTGCGAGCAGAATGTCCATTATTGCTCGCCTGATTTGACTACTCCAGACTTCGCCTTTATGTGAACAAGCCACAGACCTTGGTAGCCCTAAAAGCAAACTTAAAAAAAAGACAATGCCTGAAGTAATAAGAAAATTGATGGAAAATGCATCAACTCTGGCAGGGTCCACTTGGCCGATATTATTTTCTCGACAGAAAAAAATTTAAAGGTCCAAATAAACATTATTTACAAAAATAAAATAAAATAAACATTATTTACAAAAAAGCTTTAGGAAATTGGGTGATAACTTTTGCACCTTGTATATTAATAATAATAATTACTAGGGATGCACCGGAATTCCGGCGGTACCACTAAATCCGGCCGATCCGGCCAGTTGGCCGGAACTACCGTTCCGGATCGCTTTCCGGCCGGAATTTTCGGAACTTTTTGGAAATGTTTAAGTTTTAAATTTTTAATATAATTTAAATTCAAATATAGTTATGCAAAAATAAAGAAATGAATAATGAAATGACCTGCAGCCCTGTGCCTTTGCTTTCCCGACTTTCGCGTCTGTGATTCCCCGACTTTCGCGTCTGGGATGCCCCGACTTTCGACAAGATATATTTTATAATTGGTCAACAGTGAAGGGTGTGCGAGTTTCCTTGCCTATGATAGACTGGCGGCTGTGGCTGCTATTCTCGAATTGAATGAGTAGAATTGTTTTAATTTTGTTAACGCTAATTAAAAATTAATATTTAAATAAACAGTAATTTCTATCTAGGTAACATTAATAGTAATAAACACTCTGCATACTGTAGTTAGTTTTAAAAAAAGTAAAAATAAATCAGCCTCAATATTTTCAATGTTTTACGTATAAAAATAGGCATGCACATACATTTTAAATTTAGGTCCCGATCCGGCCGGAATTCCGGCGATCTGGTCCGGCCAGCGGCCGAAATTCCGGTTCCGGTCGGATCGGCAAAATACCCGATCCGGTGCATCCCTAATAATTACCACCAACTTGATTGAAAATAAAAATTTGTTTTCCTCTCTCTTATAAAAGGTGCTTTGTAGTGGCCATAGAGCCTACACAAGGAGTTCGAACTTCATAGGGGAAATTGACAAAACCTACCCACTAAATTGCACAAATTATGTCTTGTTTTTTACAACCAGCGGCGCTTATTGTCGATGCGTACTGACGTCTGCTGTTTTGGTACAAATCAGAACACAAGAAAGATTTTTGTATGCGCGAAGTACGGAATCCTTGTGTAGGCTCTATGGCAGTAGCCATCAGTACTTCGTGGTTCATCAAAACTCAATAAAAAAAGGTTTTTTATATTTTTCAAATTACGTAAAATGGCTGTCTCTGAATTTTTTTTATGAATTTTGAGGAAAAATTGCTCGTAAATTGTTTATAAAGAAATAAGTTTTGGTTAAAAAAAAAGTTGTTAATGAATAAATATGCGGTATTAATTTTATCTAAATTGATTGGGTGGCATATAGTGGCCAAAAACGCGTTTAATTTTTTACAGCTGCCCATGAATAGGAAAAGGATCCTACAGTTATTGCAAGGTTTCTTTAAAACTATTTATCGAGACATTTCTTACAGTATTAACTAGGTATCAGAATCAATAAAAAACAAAAATAGATATTTTAATTGTTAGGGCGATTTTTTCGTTGTCATATTTTTTTAAATAAAAAAAACAATTCTGGGCCATTATAAGCATGCGGACAGGACAAATCACAAAACTGTTTTTATAAAAAAAAATGGTAGGTAATTTATTATATAATATTTTGGCATTAAAATTGTCAACATATTCTTCTTCTATTAGGCTATACATTAAATAAAAAAACGCAATAAATATTTTATAAAAGTAGAGATTGTTAAAATTATCTCTACTTTTATAAAATATTTCTTGCGTTTTTTTAATTTAATGTATAATAAAATAAAAAGATTTATAATAATAAAAAAACAATATTTTTGACAATGTTGATGCCAAAATATTATATAATAAATTATCTACAATTTTTTTATAAAAAGTTTTGTAATTCGTGTTTCGCGCGCCTGAAATGACCCTTTTCTAAAATAAAATAGTTTTGATATATTTTGCGTTCCTAACGACTTCATTATAACACCGCTTTCGGTGCTGTAATGAGATAATTTATCCCACCCAAAATTTTGATTTTATAGGTTGGCTATACTTTAAACAGCATAATATTTTGCATATTGGTCCATTACAAAACTCGCTCCTTCATCGCTCGTTTTATAAATTGTCCGCGTACGACAAAATGACGACTTATGACATTAGTTATACTATTAATAGACTATTTTCATAGTTAAGGTTAATCATACAAAGATAAAACAAGGGTTGTTTTAATAGATTAATAGTGCCCACACCTATTTTATTTGGGGTAGCATTCTAATTACACTTAAATACTTATACATGATTAATAAAAAATATGCCTATTATAGTAGTGGAGAAAGCTCATATTATAGCCGCATTTACTTAATTAAAATATTTATTTAATATTTTAACACATCATTTTTAGGTAAGGTTCAACTGTCATGGTGACATTTTAGCTTCATTTTTTTACTGATGTTTATAACAATTTGACTTTTGAACTAGTATTAATAGAAGAAATCTTAGCGACGCGTTGCATGACTACCTATAGGTAGTCATGCAACGCGTCGCTAAGATTTCTTCTATTAATACTAGTTCAAAAGTCAAATTGTTATAAACCTATATGTGATTGTTTTCCTTAGCCGTTAATTCGTAAACGATTTAAATCATTGGTTTACCTCTCGTATTAATATAAAGTCTTTCTATAATATAGAAAGACTTTATATTAATACTAGTTCTATTATGTATGGACCTATACGCTAAAGAAGTATCGCTAGTAGCGTACCACTTATCATCGTAACAAAAGTAGAACTTTTAATAATCAGCTGTCAAACGCTTAGGTTACAAAAGAGTGTTTTTGAGAATAAAGCCGGAAAATGTTAAAAAATATCGAAAAAAAACCATGGATCGATTTGTTGTGTTGTTGGGTGTATTTCGAGAGGAAATTCTGGGTTGAGTTTTTACCGGTTTTCCAACAAACAGTGTTGAAGAAATAAATTGCATACAGTATCTGTAAATATAAATTGTACCTATTAGATACAATAAATACTCATTTTAGTAATGATTAACGTAAAAATTGTAAACATTTCAATTCAGTAAAAATCGTCAAAAAAATAAGTCGTCTAAATTTACACAGCATTTAGCATTATTAAAAGCGTTGATTAAGAATTCTTTAAAGTCTCCACTCAGCGGTAAAATACCATATTATGTATTACCTATATATAATATTATGTTGCCATGAATTCGTAGGTATATTTTGTTGTTTAAAATGTAGTTGTCGGCGTTTTTTAGAGAACTCAAATATAAAAATGATTGATTTTAAGGTTATGTTATTAGTTTTTACTAATTTCCTAAAAATGTCCAAACTTAAATATAAATTATATTAGGTAAAGTTATCATTAGTTAATTCTGCACCAACAAATGTACTTACCGAATTGGATCCTTTGACAAAACATGAAAATGCAACGATTTGGTTCTTGAAATTTATTTACAATTAAAAACACAATAATTCACCATTATCCCTTTGAAAAAATACACACACTAACGTAACTATATAAGCATTTAAGCGTTGAGTTTCTTAATCAATGATATAAGGAATAATCAATCGAAATCGAGTACTAAAAAAGTTTTTTAATTTTTTCCTTGCAACGTAAAACACAACTAACGTGCGCGATTTAGCTGTGTAATTGAACAAAATTTGTCGAGTAACACTTCTGCCTTCCTCTCTTTTGTAAAAAAAACTACTAATTTGTTTAAAAATGATGTATAATCAGTGCTTTAAATTTATTGTTGACAATTCTTAAATTCACGCAATGCATTTGAAGTCCACCAGATGGCGCGCGCGATGCAAAAACCCGATACTTCTTTAGCGTATAGGTCTTATAAAGGGTGTTTTTTTAGAGGCGGAGAACTTTAAATTGAAATAAAACACAACAAAATGTTTTTAATATTCATGAAATTGGCTTTATTTTGGCATTAGAGGTCCAATTTTCACACAC